AAATCTCTAATGAACACAATGCATTTTAAATTAACAAATCAATCATACCTCCATCCACCTACTAAAATGCCTTTTGCTCACTTCTTGCTCTTTTTCCCTTTATTAAATGCCAATTAGCATATTAATATTTTTAGCACTAGCAGAAACTTGTAATTTGTGTAAATCAAAAGAAAAAATGAGCAATTTTAAGGGAAATTTATTATTTTTAAATGGATAGACCCTAGAAATTCAAGTACCCAAATAGAAAATAAAGGGAACATCTATTTGGATTTATTGACGGCACAAATCAGTATCCTAAGCAAACTATTGAAGAAAATGAAAAAGTAACAGACCTTCTCTTCTTCTTTTTTCCTTCTTTAACAACCTCTTTTCTTCCGTCTTGGCATCCTCCAGTGGCAGGTGTGGTGGCGGCGACAGTCTCTTCCTTCTTGGAACCTTCCAGTGGCTGCGGTGGTTGGCGAAACTGGGGAGTATAAATCAACGCTTCTCTCCCTCTATATCTAACTAAAACCCATAGGTTTGTTTAAGCATTAGGCGGATTGTGACTGATATGGCCAGATTTTTCTGACGAGGCCCCAAAAAAATTGAGGCCCTAGGCGATGGTCTTGTTGGCCTTATGACAGGGCCGGCCATGCTCTTTCACCACAGACGATGGCACGGGATTGTTGTAGTTTTGTGGATTTCGTCGGCGCTGGACAGTAGAAAGGCGGTCGGCGACGATGCTATGGATTTGAAATCAGAGAAACGAGATACACAATGAGAGAGTTAGGGTTAAGGGGAGAAGATTAACCCTTAAGGGGAATGATAGATATTTTTCTTCTTTAGGAAACGTGTTCTTGGGTTTTGGTAGGTATTTTTTATTCTTCAGCCTGACATTAGATTGTACAATCCCTTCACTAGTCAATTCTCATTTAATTGGGACCTGTAGGGCGTTTCAAATTACCTAAAGGGGCAAATATGTCAAAAAATAACATTTTTGTAATGTAAAAAAAAAAAAGAAAAAAAAGTGACATTTTTGTAAATGTGTTGGAAAAATTTGACATCCTCTGTAATTTCCACATATCATATTATTATTACTCAATAATCCTGAATAGTTATTATAATTATTATTATTTTTGTCAAGTTTTAAACTTTTTTCTCGGGACCAGGGCCTCAAAAGCCATATGAACTCCAAAATAGAAAAGTTGAAGGATTTGGGCTTGGACTAGGGCTGTAAGCAAAAATCAAAAAAATCAAAAAATCGAACAGCATTTTAGAAACCGTTGGTTTAGTGCCACGTGGCCCGGTCAACGAAATGGTTTTGAACCAAACCAAACCGATCAAAATAGTTTGGTTTAGGTTTGAAAATTTTAATTACGATCTAAAACCAAATCGGACCGGAAAATATATATGTATAAAATAAAATAAAAATGGAGTTTTTTGAAAATTTATCCAAATATGTAAAATTCAATAGTTTGCCATTTGTGGGTATTTAGTCAATTTCTAATTTTCTAATACATATATATTATTATTACCTAATAATCCTAATTTATATCTAATAATATAAAAACTAACATAATCTATCAAAAGCCATTTTTCTCTTTAGAATTTAGATGAACTCCAACCGACACCCGACACAGTATTGAGCCATCGCCACCACACACACTTCTTCTTCAAATTTTTTACGCCACTTCAAAATTGAATTGTAGTCCATTACACCAAATCGGAGACAAAGAGATCCTATGTCTTCGATGATAATATTTGCTACGAATAAAGTTTCAAATCAATAATTTTTTTAGCAAACTGAGGTAAGAATCTGAAATTAAATGCGTTTCGTAATAACATATAAAAGTAAGCTTGTGTATTTGTTATGTTAAGATATTATAAATATCTGATTTATTATTGTGGTTGGTTATTCTCTTTGTCTAATCAGTAACCTTTTTTCAGATATAATGATCACGAGATCTTGTTGGATATCATTATATTTTTTGGCCTTATATCTCGTTTAGTAGACTTGTATTGTAACGTTATCATAACGTCATTAGCCTAAAAAAGGTGAACAAAAATAAAAAAAACTACGTTTTAGTTTATTGTGATTTTAATTTAGTAGATATTTAAATTTATAGTAGATATATTTAGCTCCTGTTCAAACCATATTTTCCATGTTATCATAATGATAAAATTGATAGTTGAAGAGAAGGCTGGGTCCCACGCATGAAACAACAGGTCAACAAATGCGATTGGACTTGTGGGATAATGATCCAAATTTTCATATTTTGGTCCCAAAAATTTGGTTCAAACAAAGGCTTAGATTGTTTTATATTTATTGCTAGTAAATTATAAATATATATTGAATTCAATGAATTAATATCATAAAAGTAGACAGACAAAAAAAAAGACGAAATTGGCTATTTAAAATTGGACCAAACCGTTAGATTTAGGTTTGAGCTTTTTTCAAATCGTTCAAAATGGTTTAGTTTAGGTTTGGATTTTTTTAAACCGATTTTAACGGTTTGATTTGAAAATTTGTCAAAAACAGGTAAAATCGAACCGCTTCTACCCTTAGCTTGGACTATATTACTTAAGAGTTCATTAGGTGCACATATGGTTGAAGCTTGTATATACTGAAAGAATTGGTTGAACACTAAGAAGGAACCTATAGTGCTGTGACAATATTTAGATGAAGTGGAGGCATTGGATGATGATTTATATTTTCTATTACCATATTTCTGAAGATTCTCTTATATATCTAGTACTATGATAATGTAATAAATGCATTTGTTTGATTATACAGACAATGTATCATGTGTGACAACAAATGATGTTTGAGTATATGCAGGAAATTGAGTTCGTAACAACATACAACCGTAAGTTTGTGTAATTGTTATGTTTAGATATTATAAATAATTGCTTTATTATTGTGGTTAGTTATTTTCTTTGTCTAATCAATAACATTTTTCTTGTAGATATAATGATTACGACGTGTTGGACATCATCAATTTTCTTGGCCTTATATTTAGTTTAGTAGACTTTTATTTTAACGTTATCGTAACGTCATAAGCCTAAAAATGGCTAGCAAAAAAATATGTTTTGATTTATTGTGATTTCACTTTGATTTAGTTGATATTTAAATTTATAGTAAATATATTTAGTTTGTTTTAGATTTATTGCTGGTAAGATATAAATATATATTGAATTCAATGAGTGTAAAAGTAAACAAGCAAAAAAAAAAATATGACGAAATCGGCGGTTTAAAATTGAACCAAGCCGTTAGATTTAGGTTGAGTTTTTTTCCAATCGTTTAAAATGATTTGGTTTAAGTTTGAATTTTTCTCAAACCGGCTTAAACGGTTTGATTTAAAAATTTATCAAAAACCAATAAAATTAGACCGTTTACACCCCTACAGTAAATGCATTCTTATAAACGAAATAAGCTAAGAAATGCTTATAAGATTAGCCAAAACTCTCTTAATCAGTCTTGAGCATAAATTTTGCAAGGAAAACAAGCAGCTTAGGAGCTCATAAATCAAAATAGATAATATAACAATATAAATAAATATAATATATATAATATACACATGGTGAGAAAGAGAGAGATGTTTAATGCGGAAATCTATTATCTTTGTCTTTATGTATTGATATGGAAGAGTTGGTTGCCTCGAGAAGGTGCTAGGTGATAGCAGTGCACGTGTAACCCAGTACCAATACTCATGCTTGAATCCAAAACACAGTCAAAAAGAAATCAAAGACAGAACAGTAAGCCCATACTTCTCAGTCTCTGTTCAAATCACATTTAGGCCATTTGCACGCAGGGAAGATCTTGTCCCTCTCAACCAACCAACACACAAATATACATTTGTAATTTGTATTGCTTTCCCTTGCACTTGTAGGCGGCATTTGTGATGACTGCTCTTCTGCCATTGCACTCGAGCACCTCGGCTACTCAGAAGTCGAGTATATTGCTAAATATTCAGCATAATTCCATACTGAATTTATAGACAAACAAGAAATAACCTTGCTAATTTCCTTCTAGGTTGGGAACTGGATTAGAATTAAGCTATTTGTATAGAAATATTTTGATAGTTGTTGAGGTGCATATGATTCAAATTAAGGGATAAGGTGCATGCCACCTCAATATCTGTCAAAGATGCGGCCAAAAAAAATGTACAAGTAGTAGTGTTGATTGGATTATTTTATCGTACATATGACTAGTACAATATGAGTATCTTACATATGTTTATATAGGTTCATTTTTTGAGGGTAGTTGAGGTTTCATCAGAGTACTAAAAACTGGAAACTTAAGAGGAAAAACCCACAAACAATATCCCTTCATATTTCTTCAGCCGAAATGTAAACATATTTGTTAGGCAAATTGTTGTCAAACGACCTCCTCAGGGTATAATGTAACTCGATATATTTTCTCACTTTGCATCGACCTATTGATTGAATGGCAAATCGATACTTAAGTGACAATGACCCTACCCAAAAACTCTTTGGACCATTTGAAGCAGCTTAATTTAATTAGTCCAGCTCATGATCCGTTTCCACTTATTTGGATGGCTTACAGATGGAAATCCACTTAGCAGCCCACTTAACACCCTCATTGAGTTTGACCCATTAATGTGCCCTAATCCTACTTATTTATTTTGGGCGTCTTTCTTGGATCATACACACACGCTCTCTGCCTCTTTGTCGTCGTGTGAAATCCAATGGTTTTCCCTTTGTGATCTCGGCTTACTATCGTCCTTCACCTTACTGCCTTTGTGACTATTTTTATACCGTGATTATACCTCCTTCCTATGCATCCTAAGTGGGTAAACGAGGAGCAACCATAAGTGTGAAGTAGTTGAGGGGTTTTGGGTTGTTTTCGTTTGAGGTGTCGATTGATAGAGAAATTGAGCCCGGAAAAGACTTGGTGATCGTATATTCCGCACAACAAGATTGTTTGTCAGACAAAATACTAGAATTGCAATGAAAAAAATCATTAAGGATAAAAGAGTTATCCTCAAATTCCACTCCCAACCCGCAATAATTCATGAATTTCACATTCCTCTTCAATCAATCAAAGGCAGATTAATTAACAGATGACACCATGATTTCAACAAACTAATTATAAATCAAATTTTACAAAGTGCAGAGAAATCTTGTTAAAAAGGAGGACGACCTGTCCCCCAGTAAGCCTCGGTGGGTAATTGGCTTGAATTAAGGAGATTTGAAGGCATCCCATGAAAAAGATTTGTGTTAGGATCAGGCATAAGCTGTTGTCCTTGCTGGCCAATAGTTCCTGGTGGTGATCCAACGGCTCCGCTGCCTGGCGCCACAGCCATTGGTGGCTCTTCATCCTCTAGAGGTAGCCTTTCATATGCTGCGTTACCAAATGAGGCTGCCATAATCACCACCGGACCGGCAGCGAAAAGTGGCCCCATGACATTGCCTCCGACGACTTGGCCTTGTCCGCCAGATAAATATATGGTCAATCCTGACGCAGCAGGCGGGGCCGGAGGTGGCAGAAAGGAACCAGACAGGGATAGGATTTCGAATCTTCCATGTAGCGTTAACACTGAGCCTGGTGCAGAAGGTTGTCTTAGAGTGACATTATTCACAGTGCCGCTGCCACTCAGTATGCAAATACCTCTCCGCCGCCGTGTGGCTAAAATGGACACACTTTCTTGAATATCGCAGCCGTCGGTGACTTCCATTACATGGGATCTGAGTGCATTTTGACTGTCTCGAGTGATGATTATAGGGGGTTTTGGTTTGTTCTTGGAACCGGCGGGTCTACCTCTAGGTCTTCTTGTCATTTCTCCTTCTCCGGTGGCCGGCAGTAGCTCTTCCTCCTTTTCGGCTGCGTCGCCAGTGGTCGTGGTGGTGGAAACACCGTAATTGTCGTGACGATCTCGCTTTCGGCTGCGGTATTTATTATCGTTTTCGCTTTGTTCATCTTCAAGATTCTGCTGGCGGTGCTGGAATTGTTGGAGCTGAAGATCTCTGGCGAGAAACGGAGGCGGCAAAGGGCGACCCTGAGCTGTTAACTGATCCATCAGTACAGTTGAAATACCGGTCTGCTTCTTCATATTATGCAGAATCTGGATGAACAGAAGCAAATTCAGACGCAAAACGAGGGAATTTCTCTATCTTACAAGATGGGATTCGTTCTTGGTTGATTTTTCTTCAGTGCTTTTGCTCAAATAACTGAATTCACTATCCCTTTTTCCTCTAATTCTCATGTGATAACAACGTGTTCATGTTCAGTTTCTCTGTGTCGCTTCTTGAATCTTGAGTTTTGAGAGAAAGAAAGGGTTTGGAATGTTAAATATTTTCATGTTTGGGTTAGGGTTTGGTCAAGGATGGAGAGAGGCAATGGGGTTCGGTGGAGTTTTAGGGAAGGGGTGGTGATTGGATGACGAGAGGAGGGGCAGAGTATGGGGGTTTAGACAGCGTGCGCATGGCGGCATGGGCATTGGGAAGTGGGACCCACTTTCTCTCTCCTTTGTCCCCTCGTGACCTAGTATTACTACAAGTGGGATTATAAAACAGTTATGAAAACCATCCCAAACACTTGAAAAACCTCAAAATAATTAGAATTTTGATGGGTGTATACGGTAAGTTCTACAAGGTTTTCACATATTCCTCATATGATGGGAATTCACCTCATTAAAAAAATTACTCCAACAATTTCCAACCCCAAGCTTGTGTGTATTCCGTAGGGGTTCCCTACCTAGTAACCCAAGACAGCCCAAATAAATACACTTTAATTAATTGATTATAGAGTGATTAAACTCTATTTGAGGATGTTTATTTTCCATTTTTTTAAAAATTAAGAATGAAAAATATAATCGTTATGGACTCCACATATAAGATAAAAATTCAAATTTGGTGACTTGATGTGATGGATAACGATCATATTTTTCATTTTAATGGGAAAAAATGAAAAACAAACGGGAGCTTTATATCTATATATTTTATGACATATATAAATTTTAGTTATTTCTTAATCCTGCATTCTTCATATCCAATACTTATAATTAATTATAAACTTTGAATAATATGTTCAATTGTAATTGTTTCGGGTTCAATTATATTATCTCGAAACTGATACTTTGACACTCTCAAATATCATGTCATCTTGACGGATTATAAAAAGTTATAGCATTTTCTATACATATGCATATTAAATCTCGAACTAGTTCTATATATCAAGAATATGTGATCTATTAAGATGTCAAGAAAATGTTCCAAAGGCAAACTTAGGAGAGAGCAAATTTCAAATCCCTCATTCTTGAATTAATTCTTTCAACTTTAACATTTGATTTACTTCTTTCAAAACTAAAAGGAAGCAAAAATGAATATTGAATCATAGAATAAGTTATTTCCTTTATCTCCATCTAATGTTGGTGATAATCAACTTAAGGGCTAAATAGAAATAAGCTAAACATGATAAACAGACTAGGTTTAGAGTTCCCTTAACTAAGTAGGTCATAAAGAGAAGGAACTCAACGCATGTTTGGCCAATCATATTAGTATTCTGATAAGTGAATAAGTTCAATATAAATAAATTGTTTTGAGCCAATAACAACACATAAGTTACTTATTTTTCCTATCTTTTTAATTTGACCTACCTCTAAACATAATAAAATATAGAGAAATTGTCTCCTAAGCGCAATAGCTAATCAGCAATGATATGATACATCTATTAATTAATAAATTTATTTTTGGTCCCAAGAATTAAATTTGATTTGTTAATATTGGTGTACAATGTCATTAAGCATATAATTTGATATCAACTTCTGTTTTAAAATATATTAATATAAATATGAAGAAAACAATACATCTAAATATCTTTAAGTAAAATAAAATAAATTTAGCCCTTGTTTGGTAATTATTAAAATCAAATTTTAGTAAATTTTGATAAATATTGATGAAATATGTGATTGAAAATGTGTAAATTCCATGAAATATATGATTAAAATTAATTAATGATGTTGATCAAAATTAAAATCTCCACTTAATATGAACTTAATTTTAAATTTATAATACTCTCAATCTTATACTAGTTTTAGTTGCATGATATTGAGCGCCTGGAATTCCGACGACTTAAAACAGCTTATTCATCATCATTTCCTTTTATTATTATTATGATTATTAATTTTTTTTTTTTTTTCATTTTTGTTGGCTGTGGGGTATATGTTGACTAAGTGGTCCACAGTGGTTATGAAAACAACAAGCGTTACAAATAGTTTCCATGATTTACGTAAAAGTAAGGTCTAAACGACGTAGAATCGCTGGCGTTTTGTAGTTTAATAATGTAACAAACAAAGGTGACATCTAGTAAGAGTGAGAGTGCACATGTGGGTCATGGGAAATTGAAATGGATCAACCACACACAATTACGTTTTGTATGTCTTGCACGGAGCACAATTTACATGGGGTTAGAAAAATTTATAAGAATTCTAATCCTTGTAGATCCTATTTTTTGAATATGTTTTTACCAGCACCAAGATTTGCCATATTCGAGCTATTGTGGTTGCTCATATTGAAAAACTAGAGGGAGAAAGAGAAAACCCTAAGAAATGAAAAGAGAGATCCCATAAGTCTGTAAGAGCCTTCAACCTTTTGCTGTCCTTTTCCTCTGTTAGAAGAGAACCCGTAAGAGCCTTAAAGATTTTGTTGTCCTCTTCCTTTGGTTCTACTGTCCGTCTAAAACTTAGAAAGTAGGACAAAGCTGTCTTGCGGTTATAATTTTTGTGGGGTTCGATGTGGTTTAAATGTTTGATGGGTTGACAACTTGGTATGAGATTCTCAATTGTTATGTCGGCCGCCCATTTATACTATTGATTTAGTTTTGGGCAATTTACACAAATATGGAAGAAATGGGCTGAACAAATAAATAAATAACTTTTGGTAAATATTAAAAATAACTGTCTAAGTTAATGCTTAAAGAAAAGTACAATAACTTTTAGTATAATATTCATGTTATAATATTGTTGTTATTTTTTTTTTCATATTTATTAATCTCGCTCGCACAGAAAAAGTTCTATGGGTCCGCCCTTGATAAATGCATTCTCAATAAAAATGGGGTTCAAATACTCCCTTAAAATCGTTGCAATACTTTATACGTTATTTTTTATTTGTTACCATATGAATTTTCTTTATTAAACATTTAGGGTGTGTTTGATTACATTTATTTTCCATGGAAAATATCAGTTTTCCATCCAAATTTTCACTTTGAGTGTTTGATTGCTATTTTTTTCCATGGAAAACATTTTCCAACTTTTGAAAATATGCCTAATTTTCCTTGTTTTTAAGGAAAATATTTTCTTTGGGTAGAGGTGGTTTTTATTTTCCACAAAAGATGGAAAATATTTTCTTTTCTAGGTAATATTTTCCATGTCAATCAAACACACCCTTAATGTCGTTGTAAATGGAATTGTTAATTTTGCAAATAATCAGGTTTTACGGATAGGGGACCATTAAAAGTTTAGTTTGTCAGGAAACAATTTCAAAAGTAAAGCGATTATTGAATAAAATTTTAAAGTTCGAAGATTGTTCAGAAACAATTTTGAAAATAAAGTCAATATTCGAGAAAAGTTTAAAATTTGATAATATTGAGCCCCTGTTTGTCATCCATTTTCTCTCATTCTTTTTCATTTTTTTTATAGTACTCATTTCAACAACATATTCTTTATTAAAATAATATTACACGTAAATCACAAACTTTTCCTTCTTTTTTAACCACACATTTTAACATCAATCACTATTCCATAATACATTCTTTCCAAATAATGGGTGACAAACACACGGAGAACAAACGATGAAAGTGTGGCAGACATTGAGATTTTTTCACCCCAACTTATGTAGATATAATAATTTTAGGGTTTAAAACAATGGTGTCACCTAATTTCTATATATGCTCTGATCATCAAACATTTTTATTTTAATTTCAAAATTAAATATTATAGTGATTGTGTGAATTTTCGTCATTGCATTTTTAAATAATAATGATTCAAATGAAAATTGTGATTAAGATAAAGCCTCAATTTGATGTGGATTAAAATTAGATTTTTATTAGATTTTGATAGAAGTTGATAAATGTGTTGTTGAAAATTTGGGTGACCCATAAAATATATTGTTAAAAGTAATTGTTAACTTTCACCATCGACTAACATCGACTCATCTCAATCTTTAAGGAAGAGATTGACAATCCCATGTTTTACTCCGTTCAGAAAGTCTTTTCTGGGGCCTACCCAGACCTACCTATAAAAATATGACATAGATCTGTCAAATAGGGAGAAAGTAATGTGATACTTGACAACTTGTATTAATACATCATTTGGTACTGTATTAAACGGTTGTTCTGCTCCTGTTCTACATAAGCCATACTAATCCTTAGGAGCAACCATTTCAGGAAATTTGAGGGATGCCATTGAAGAAGGAAATGCAAACATTGTCAAGTATTCAAGGATATAATCAAAATCCCAGCTATAAATCGCACTAGATTCCAACAATGCGTTGGTGTCATGCGGTTACATCTTGACCCTTGGTTCCAGTTTGGTCTAATTTCGAAGGGAATCGACTCGAATCAAATACCAACGGAAATCAGACATCTCTCATCTTTTCATCTTCGGTACTTTGTTCAATTTTGTAGGGTTTTAAATCTTAAGTGATTCTCTCCATTTTCGAGTCTCTGAAATTTACTATATGAGTGCGAGGGGAATGATACTCAGTTCGTGTGAAGGTAAAATGGCAACGGTTTAGGTGAGATTTAACTGGTGATTTTTTAAATATTGTGGGATTTCTAATGCAAATATGTAGTCATCTTGTAATGTAAATAGAATTGTACTAGTGCTATAGTTTTTCCTCTGGTAGATGCTCAACAGGAACATGCCATTCGGCCGACTTCTGGAAAACGAATCTCTTTTGTTCTCCTTTAGTTTCTACACTTTCTAGGGCAATTGAGATTGATGCTATAGGATCAAGGATTGAGAATAGAGAAAATTGTTGAGGAACAAAGATGATGCCCGATGAATCCAATATCAAATTGTTGGAGTAAATAAGAGATTATAGCTATAATATGTAGTATATGATTAAAATAATAATAATAATTTACAGAGAATGAAGATTTTTATTACGTTTTTACCATAGCAAGTGGCGGATATCGAACTAGTATAATGGACCTTTGAGTCCGAATTGTCATTCCCATAACGAATATACTTTAGAACTTAATCTACTATCTTTCTAACTATTATTCGACAAAACAAACAAAAATTTGTATGTTTTGATTTTTAATTTAAATGCATAAGAATATGTGGATGTACGCAAAGATTGATTTAGAAACTAAAAAAATAAACAACTATTAGGACAGAATAATTTCACCTATTGGTCACCTT